TATATATATATATATACTAGTAGGATACCCGCACGATGCGGCGGCGGCAGATAGTTCCTTTCAGTAGATAGTTTTTATGCGGCGTTTAATTTCCTTTTCGTAGTTTCAGCCTTGTGGCAGATTATTTTGTTCCGGATAGTTCCTTTCGGCGAATAATTTCTAGCCAGGTACATAGATGTTGGGCGGAATAAATCCTATCTGCTGTCATCTATTGTTCTGCTTTTTATTTCATGATGGGGCGACGGAAAATTATACTTTTAGCAATATATTTGTTTCCGGAATAGTTTTTTTGTTGCAATTAGTTTCTTTACGGTAAATTGCTTTGCAACATTATGTCATCTCTTCTTTACTTTTCTTTTTAGCTTATTAATTTATACAATGAAACTCCAAAGCCTTTCATATAGCCATGGAAAAATCACTTCGATTAAATTATATATAGATTTTATGATTATTTGGTATAAACATTTATTGATTGTTTTATTTTCCGACGAAAAAAACTTAATGAACACATACTAAATTTATCATCGAGATACGTATAATGTTTTCATTAGAATACAATACTATGTAATTTGTACCTGGCAAGTCTTTTTAAAAAATTTAAATATTTTTTAACAATTGAACTACTACATATTCCATATATAATATATTTTTTGTTTATTTGATTTAGAAAACAATGATATTTTATAAATAAGATGAAAAGTGTTTTTTTTCTTAAAGCTTTAGTATTATAAAAGTCAGTCATCTTTTAAAATTGCTTATTCATAATATTTATATTATGCCTTGGTAATTTTATATTTGAATTTAAAATAAAGGTAAACGCGGAAACCAAAATTATAAACATGTTGTATAGATATGGACAATAAGAAACATCATAAAGTTTTACACTTCCTATTACCATCAATAGAATTTCAAAATTTTAAGTGTTTTATACTTCCCATAACTATCTAAATATCTACAAAATTTTAAAACACAACTATTTTACTTACAAAAAAAATAATTACACTGAAGGTCTCTATGTCTTTACGTTTTTCCAATGTGTTGTTCCCTTACATGGATGTTTCGCATTTTTTATTTAAAATGACGAACAAATACACAGGTTCAAAAAAAGTAATGTTTGTGAGTCCCATTTTATGGAATTTGAAACCATGTTAACATGTTTAAAATGTATATATTCGTTTGGCATAAATTATAATAAATATATAAAATAATGAAACCATGTTAGTATGTTTGAAATCTATATATATTCCTTTGGCATACGTTATAATAAATAAATAGAATAATGAAAACATGTTAAATAGTTTGAAATGTATATATTCATTTGGCATAAGTTATAATAATTATATAAAATAATAAAGTATGAATCTAAAATACAAATGATAATAATTTAAGAATGGAAGGGTTATTTCGGTATAACCGATGCCTTTTTTTGTAATTATCACTCTCAACATTACATTCGTTCCTCCAAGCACCAGACATAAGTGTAGCAGTGTAAACTGTCTGTTCAACTTTACATTTTAACAGATGTATTGTTCTTCTATTGTTGGAGCCCCAACCACCAGCATATGTATTCAAATACAGTTTCATCTCTTAATAGTGGCCAATGAGCAAATGGGGATTCCCACCCTTTCTATTGTTGGAGATAATCCTGAAAGAACTAAAAAAATTCAACATTGACTTTCAAACTTATAATAAATAATAATTAAATATTTGAAATTCTCTGTTATTTGTAATTAATTTTTGTAATAACAAAAAAATGTCACAAAAATTTAAAATTCAGTTATAATAAGGGACGAAATTAGTCATTTTATTTGGAAAATTGACAAAAAATGTTACAAACACCTCAACACTCCACCTTTGGTTTCCAATCTGTTCAACAACTTGAGACAGATTTCAAAAACCAAACCAGTGGATTGTATTTATTGGAGCATTGGATAGTTGGATTGGATTGGATGACCTTGTTTTACCTGGCATTTCCAACATCCCTCTACTGTTTCAAATCTTATGGTAAAAGTATCTCACTTCTACCCATTTGTTAACAGTATAGAAAATTAGGGATTATTGATCAATTGTTTTCGTGACATTACGTTAAAGATGGTGTGATCGTTTATCAGTTGTTCTTGAAGGAGTTTCTTAAGGATTTTGTACTTGTTCTTTTGAAATAGATAATGATATCTATTTATAGATTTGACAATATGACAAACATTGAAGTTTATATATGTTTTTAGAGGAATTTGTCTTTTACAACTGAAATAGTTACAGTTATAAGGAGTTTAGAAAATTTGGAAATAAATTTGTATTAGAAGTCATTTTTATATTGCCAAACAATTTTTTGACTTATTGACTTTTATAAAAATCAATAAGTTGTTTTTAAATAAAATCTCAAACACTCTCTTAATAAGCTTTATATTCATTTTTGGCATTCTATCTTATATTTGACTAAGTAGTCGTATTTTTTCATAAAATGTCATTTTCTTGCATATTAGTGTTTTAATTTGTGTTATTCCAAAAAATTGAAATTCTTTTTTGAAAAAGTAGAATGTTTTAATAAGAAAAAATAATGAAAAGTGGCAGACTATAATAAAAAAAATGAAAATGTAAAAACTAAGATGCAGAGTCAGTTAAGATGCCTAAACTTGGGGGTAATTATGTAATTTTATATTTATCTAAATCATCATTACCTGGGTCATGCCTTCTAATAAACCATTGCCAACTCTTACTTTTTCAACAACATTTGAGAATGCTTTCATAAATTTGTCAGTCAAATTTGGTTGCCAACCGACTTTATAATAGAAGAAAGTCTAAATTGACCATAATACCCTTGTTTCAAAATTGTATGAATTCTTTCGGAAACATAATAGAAGAAAGTCTAAACCGGAAAAACGTACAAAGAAAGTCTATGCTAGCTACCAGCAACACATGTAAGAGTCGATGAGCACTAAAGCATATCAAAAACAGGTAAAAGCCAAATATGCGAGTTTTAGATAAACTAAAAAATGAAAAGGAAGAGCATGGGAATTTACACCTTTAGGCATGCTTGATTCAATACCTTTGGTCACAACATCATCACCGCTTCCGCCGCCCATCCTATCCACCCCAAATGCGAGGTTTTTTACTGATTCTCCCTAAGCCCAGTTACACCACCATGATTGATCCCCTAGAAAATACAAAATTAAATCACTACTAAATATTGATACATTCAAATTCAAACATATATGAAAATAAATGTTATTTGTAATTGACAAAATGAAGTAGAGGTGGTACTTGTACCTCCAAGGAAACACCAAAGATAAACACCGGATGATACTTCAAGACAATGTTTATAATGGTCAGACTGATTCTCAGCAACAGATCAGGATCTTCTACTTCTCGTCCATTTGATCTATAAAAAATAAAAATTAACAAAATTATATAAAAAAGAGAGCTACACACAGTTACTATTGAAGCATACTGACAATCAAGTAACAGAAGTAATTTTTGTTTACTAAATTATGTAAAAAAGTTGTTATTTATGATTAAGAAATATGAAGTTCATGGTCAAGTACGTTGCTATTACTAGAAATTTTCCTAGAAAACAATTGCAAGAATAAATAATTAACGAAATAAAAATAACTAATTAATCATATACGTGATATATTTAGCAGCCGTAAACCAATTACACAGCCGCCAATAATATTATATAATTAAAAAGTATTATATTGATAAATTATTCTACACAAATTACCAGAGATCCCAGTTGTTGAAAGTCGTTGGGGAGGCGATCCCAGTTGTTGGAAGTCGCTAGGGAGGCAGAGGTGTAGAGGCAAGGACAATATTGTCATTTGACTCGCACAAATCTTATGTCAACTTGTGCATAGATTCATAAATAGATGACTTTGCATCTTTTCCTCCGATGTTGCAAGAAAGGATTATGGAGGCTGCAAAAGTGAAATCTGGTAAACTATCGAAATACCCATATATGAAGTTTCAGCAATGTGTAGAAGTGATGAGTGAAAGAGTAAACCTGATTAAAAATCGGAAGACATGATTTACCTTTCTAAGACTTGGGAACAAATTATAGCTAATTCCAATCCTTTGCAAACGTCATAGTGTCCTCGCGTGCATATAATATTTTTTTTAATTATATTACAACCTTGTTACCTAGAAATAACTTGAAAATTTGTCTAAACAGCAAAAAAAAGATGTGACCTGTTGACCCCACTCTTTTATCTAAATTCAATGCTTAGGTGGGTGCATGTCTTGGAATCTAAAAGAAGCCACATAATTTCTTAGCCATAAATCTTTATCATAATCTCTATAAGATTAAAAGGATCAAAGGACAAGTTAACTTTTTCTTTAAGTACCTGATTGGCTTTTGAAGAAACAGAGTCACCACAGAAAAAATGAATGTCTGGATGAGTGTGTCCTTCGCTGCTTCTTTTGGACTAAAAAGGGAAATAAGGCCATTGACCATTTCACCCTTTAACAGATGCCTTTAAAACTTCAAACAAAAGCTGGAAATGAACCTAAAAAGTTACGGTTTTTACCTCAAGGATGGGGAATAAGAGAAATAGGAAGCATCAACCGCTACAACCGGACAAATCTGAGGATTAGAGAAAAAAATAACCTGATTAAAAAGAGGGGCATTCAAGCAATGGTAGCTGGAAAGATAGTAGGAATGAGGAATGGTCGTGGTAAGGTCCAATCGTCTCCATGAGTAATGAAATCCAATACATACACAAAATTGAAATGAAATTAACATGTAATCGGAACTAAAATCCACAATGAAATCAAATTAACATGCAAACTTACAGCTTACAGACTGGAAACCATCAAGTTCTTATCAGAAAAAAATTAGACAGAAGAAAGAAGATTACACGAATTACTTCTTAATAAACAGAAATCGAGAGAAAATGGAAGTTTACCTGACAGCTGAAGCTGAATAGCAGACAAAATTTGAGTTAAGAAGAGGCGGTGCCGACGATTCTCATAACTAAGGGCATGTGCATTTTCTACAAAAATCTCATTTTAATTGCCCTTGATTAAATGAATCTACTCAAAGAATCATATCAAAATTAAAGAAATTGATTTGATGTTACTCACCTAAAGGCTATCATTTGGCTTGGGTAATTGTAGCTTCCACCCAGCACGCCCTATGAAAAAAATGCCAAATTTAGTAATCGTTTGGAATAACAAAATACCCACCAAAGCAACTTGGGGCTTTCTATTGGTGACGATGGTTCTGGCGAACCCTAGGACATCGGTGATGGTGGCTGATGTTTGGATGATGGTTGATGTTGTGATGGTCTCGATTGGTTATAGTGGAGACGACGATCGAGTTCGGTTAGGGTTTGTGGAGGATGGGGAACGTATTGGCAAATTCAAATTTTGAAACGATAATGGTTGAGAGATTGTGTTTGTCTTGTTATTAGTTAAGAACATCAGCCATTAGATAGTAGCAGGATATCAACTGTCCGTAACCATGCCCGGTTGGCAATCTGTGTGAGTGGTAAAGATAGATAGATTAAAACTCTCTATTTTTATTGGTTGAAAGAATTTCACATGGATCACCAACATTTAAATCCTGATCGTTCATTTTTGATCCAAAGGTCCAGAACTGATTTCCTTATTTTTTAAGATAACATGCATAATTTTTTGTACCTTAGGCTTTATAATTTGTACCTAAGACATTATTATGTATGCTTTATAAG